CAATAAAAAAAAAGAAAAAAAAACAGAGTGGAGATATCGGGGTTCGAACCCGAGGCCTCTCGCATGCAAAGCGAGCGCTCTACCGCTGAGCTATATCCCCGCACCTGTTCGGAATGGAATGAAATTCTCATTAAGTATCAATTGCAGACTAGTCGACTAAGTAATTTATACTGTTGTCATGACAACAAAGCGTGATCAACTTGCTTTGAAAGTGTAGTGAGAATTCGGGCGTTCCTGGTTTCTTGTCGCTTTGCTTCATCATGGGATGTGGCAGTTCTACTGCAGCAGTGCCACCTTCTTCTGAGCCTAATTCCAGTAAGCAAACTTCATGATTAAAATATCTGTTACTTTGTATTCTATAGCTTCTGCTAAAACTGAGTCAAAACCAAATGATGAGAATGGCAGTGCGGCTGAGAAACAAATGTAAGTTGATATTATCTATTTTCCCTAGTTCCTACACACAATGAGTCCCCCAAATGCTTTTCGTTCATTAAGATTTTATTTTTTTAGAGAGAAACCAACCCCAACCCGCGCTGCTCCTGATAACTATCCGGACCTCTCCTCTCACAACAACTGGATGGCAAAATGTCTCACCCCTGAAATATATGCTAAGCTTTCTACCCTGAAGACACCAAATGGTTTCACTTTGGATCGTGCTATTCAAACAGGAGTTGATAATCCTGGTCATCCATTCATCATGACAGTTGGAATGGTTGCTGGTGATGAGGAGTCCTATGATGTTTTTGCTGATCTTTTTGATCCTGTCATAGAGAAGAGGCACAATGGATACAAGAAGACAGACAAGCATATAACTGATCTTGACGCTTCTAAGCTTGAAGGAGGTGATGATCTTGATCCTAATTATGTCCTCTCTTCTAGAGTTCGTACTGGCCGTAGCATAAAGGGTTTGTGTCTGCCACCATTCAATTCAAGAGCTGAAAGGAGAGAAGTTGAAAAGATAGTCACTGCAGCTCTCAATTCTTTAGATGGAGAGTTCAAGGGAAAGTACTACCCACTGAGCAACATGACAGAAGAAGAGCAACAGCAGCTCATTGATGATCACTTTCTATTTGACAAGCCTGTTTCTCCTCTTCTCCTTGCTTCACGTATGGCTCGTGATTGGCCTGATGCACGTGGCATATGGCATAATGAAGAGAAGAATTTCTTAGTCTGGATCAATGAAGAGGATCACACTCGTGTTATCTCAATGGAGAAGGGAGGCAACATGAAAAGGGTATTCACAAGGTTTTGCGAAGGTCTTAACAAAGTGGAAAGTTGTATCAAGGAGGCCAATCATTCCTTCATGTGGAATGAACACCTTGGATATATCTTAACCTGCCCTTCTAACCTAGGTACAGGTCTAAGAGCTGGAGTTCATGTAAAGCTTCCACTGCTGAGCCAAAAGCCTTACTTCCAGCTAATCATTAAAGAGTTTTCATTGCAGACAAGAGGAGTTGGTGGAGTGGACACTGCATCTGTTGGGGGAGTTTATGACATCTCTAATTCTGACCGTCTTGGGTTCTCAGAGGTTGAACTGGTTCAAAAGGTAGTAGCTGGTGTTAAGTGTCTTGTTTCGTTAGAGAAAGGTCTAGAAAATAACGAAGATATCACTGGATTATTTCCACCAGGCCTCCAAAATTCTCTTAAAAATTATCCAGACCTATCTTCCCACAACAACTGGATGGCAAAATGTCTCACGCAAGACATTTACCTCAAGCTTTGTACCCTAAAGACACCAAATGGTTTCACTTTGGATCGTGCCATTCAAACAGGAGTTGATAATCCTGGCCATCCATTCATCATGACAGTTGGAATGGTTGCTGGTGATGAAGAGTCCTATGACGTTTTTGCTGATCTTTTTGATCCTGTCATAGAGCAGAGGCACAATGGATACAAGAAGACAGACAAGCATAAGACAGATCTTGATGCTTCTAAGCTTGAAGGAGGTGATGATCTTGATCCTAATTATGTCCTCTCTTCTAGAGTTCGTACTGGCCGTAGCATAAAGGGTTTGTGTCTGCCACCATTTAATTCAAGAGCTGAGAGGAGAGAAGTTGAAAAGATAGTCACTGCAGCTCTCAATTCTCTTGATGGAGAGTTTAAGGGAAAGTACTACCCACTGAGCAACATGACAGAAGAAGAGCAACAGCAGCTCATTGATGATCACTTTCTGTTTGACAAGCCTGTCTCTCCTCTTCTCCTTGCTTCACGTATGGCTCGTGATTGGCCTGATGCACGTGGCATATGGCATAATGAAGAGAAGAATTTCTTAGTCTGGATCAATGAAGAGGATCACACTCGTGTTATCTCAATGGAGAAAGGAGGCAACATGAAAAGGGTATTCACAAGGTTTTGCGAGGGTCTTAACAAAGTGGAAAGTTGCATTAAGGAAGCCAATCATTCCTTCATGTGGAATGAACACCTTGGCTATGTTTTGACCTGTCCTTCCAACCTAGGTACAGGCCTAAGAGCTGGAGTTCATGTAAAGCTTCCAAAGCTTAGTACTGATAGCCGGTTTGCTGATATTTTGAAAAGTTTGCGCCTACAGAAGAGGGGAACTGGAGGAGTTGACACTGACTCAGTTGGTGGCATATTTGATATCTCTAACACTGACCGACTTGGCTCGTCCGAGGTAGAGTTAGTCCAGAAGGTTGTGGATGGAGTCAAGCTCCTTGTGGAAATGGAAAAGGCTCTGGAGGAAGGAAAAGATATCGATGACTTGATACCAAAAAACTAACTTAAACTTTTTAATACATGTACATCCACTATATTAGGACTAGTTTCCACTTCCCAATACTATAGCCCTCATTATTATTTAAATGTACAAGTACTTC